CAAATTAATTCCAAATTGAACTCGAAACCGTATGATGTCCTATACTAACACAGTTTGAAAAGTGTCCAGCCACAAGATTGAAGTTAACAATCCTGGCAAACTTTACCCTATTGTTGGCCACATCTATTGTATCTATTGTGTAATATCCAGACCCTGTAAGGGATCAAAGCATTGTAATAATGTAACAACAGAGTAAGAAATTTATCTCGCAAAACTTTAGGACCAAAAAACACTTGTGAACAATAATGACTTCAAAGGTTTTCTCAGAATTTTACGGTAGCTTATTGTTTGTGTTTTACCTTTTTCAGGCTTCAGGTATATATTGGAGTTTAGAGTTCTAGGGACTTTAAATTTAATTCCAAAGACCTTGCCTTTAAGGTAAATCTAACAAAAGATAATCGCATGCATTGGGGACATGCACACAATAAAATATGGGTCGTTTTTGACTTTGAGAGTCTCGACACTTAATGACACTGAGCTGTGCAGACTTTGATTTTGACCTACATAGGCTTGATTTCGAATAGCGAAGACGTTATATTTTGGAGTTCTAGGAACTTGAAACTAAATTCGAAAGACCTTGCCTTTTAGTTAAATCGACAGGCTAAAGATTTACGCACGCATTGGTTATGCGCATAGTCTATAAAACATAGGTCGTTTTGGACTTTGAGGGTCTCGACGCTGAGGCGCGGAAATTAATTTCATTGTCTTGATCAGCTGTCGGGTTGTTTCAAGTATCAAGTAAAGTAAAGCTATTTACCTTCAACTTTGTGTTCTTATTTAGATGGCTATTAAAATCGACATTAATTTTAAGTGGCCATTCCGTTATCAAAATCGAAGAGACAATGATCAATGCTGGCAACAATATTGCCATACCATCCCGAGATGATCTTATAATTAAAGTTCTTATTTTATAGTGAGTCCAGAAAAAATTACCTAGCGTCAACACTATTTTTTTTTCTACTATTGCTGACTTCATCTAGCTGTGAACAGTTCTATTGTTTTTCTAATAAACAACGCTACTGGCCGAACTCTTATATTGATAAAATTAGCATCAATATTACGGTTATTAAGGTGAAAAGTTTTGTCTTACTACTTTTTCCCCAAAATCGCCCACCCAAACTTTTTTTTTCAAAACAAATACTTACAAAAAGGGCTTACTTTTTGACTATCTTACCATATTGTAGGTAAGTCTCGATAAGTCAGGTTCTAAATTATTTTTCTTGCTGTAGATCGTAACTAGACAAACTTGTCGGATATCAACCTAACCATTACAGTTAGGAGTCTACTGAAATGCTCCTTCCTCCAGAGGCTTTTAATTCACCTAAAAAAAAACTCTTGCACGTCTTGCATGCCTATTTTTTTCAACATGTAGGTGCATCATTACAAGAGAGATGATATCGGTAGTACAAAAGATTGTAAGTAATCAGGCAATTGATAACGATTGCTAGATGACAATCGATGAAGTTATGGAAATTTAACTTGTGACTAGCGAGTGGTCATCAACTTTGTGAAACTAACACCTTAAACATCCCATAAAACAAGTAAAAAATAATAGTCAGTTACCCAGCACCACTTAATTGAAGACGTTTTTCTTAGCGACTGCCTTGATGATTATGAGAAATAAAAAATGTTGTCAATGACTTAAGTTCATCAATAGCGATGCACGATTCTTCATTGTTCATTGTTATCCGGACGGAGAGAAGGTCCACAGAGTACACTGTCTATATCACTCAGTAGCATGTCAAAGGTATCAAACTCGGTCACCTCTCCCTCCTTAAAAACCAGAATCTTGTCACANGCAAGTGCTAATTGCTTTAAGATTCTATGCGACACTGAGGAACTTTCCAAAGGGTTATTGGCGATTCTAAAAAACAATTTTTAGAAGCGATTGAAAATTACTGTACTTTCGACTATCCTCCTGTTTCGTGACTTTTTCCGCTAGCTTCAAGGTTATGCTCCACTTCGCATGTGATAACTTCCCTCTCGTCTTTGTTCCGCCTTAAATCAAGTTCTTCTCCTGCATCGTCATCAAATTCCTGCTCTAGAGGCTTAACTGAGCCTGGGATTACGTCCGCTACTAATTTGGTTTCTTCACTTGGGGAGGCAGGAGCTTTTCCACCACCATTCTTTTTTTTCGCTTCATGACGATGTAAGTCATGCTCCTTTTTCGACTGGAGTTTCAGCCGCCTCCAGCATCCTTGAAGCTGACTTAGGTCACGTTTGATACCGTTAAGATTTTGGGAGTTAAATTTAGTTAAAATGCCCTCCCATGCCTTTGCCATTTTTGCCGACGCGGTTTTACTGTCGTAGTCTTTGCTTTCCACTTCAGGAAAGTCTCTACACAATTCAGCCAATAAGAGTTTTTCTTGTTCGCTGAAATTTGTTGTGGGGCTTGTTTTAGACGCCATGTTTAACAGCCATAACCAATGTCTGGAAATTTGCATACGAAATAACTCCGTAAACAATGCATTTCCTCGTAAGACATGGTTTAGCCATTGGCTCGAGAAAACACGGTTCAGTCGCGTTTCAATAATGAATTTTAAACATCGTTTAGCCGTTGTTTATCGAGACAACGTCTAAACCGCGGCTCAGGCCTAAACAATGATTAACTCAGACTTCGTTTAAATAATCGGCCCATAGTGTCTCTCCGCCGATGAACATTATCGAATCACGTTATCGATTTAAACCAATAACGATTGGAGAAAATTTAGTGGTGAACTATAATCGCTGATAGACAAAGAACGAGCGGTGCTCTTGAAACTGAAAATCATTCTTAATTCTAGGTCTAAAAATGAACAGAATTGTAGGTTTTTTTGCTGTAGGTTTACGTTCAGACCGCCTTTTATCAATCATTGGACAAAATAACGGTATAGAATGTCAAAGACGTCAGCTCATCAGTAGCAAAGTCCGATTCGTCATTGTTCATTGTTGTCCGGACGGAGAGAAGGTCCATAGAGCACACTATCTATACCACTCAGTAGCATGTCAAAGGTATCAAACTCGGTCACCTCTCCCTCCTTAAAAACCAGAATCTTGTCACAGTCTCTGATGGTGTTCAGACGATGAGCTATCGTGATGACTGTGGAACCTTTCAGTTTCTCACGTACTACACTCCACATTGTTTGTTCTGTCTGTGGATCCACGTGTGCAGTGGGCTCATCCAATACGATAATCTTGTTTTGCTGTAACAGTACACGAGCCAAACAAATTAACTGCCGTTCTCCAACGCTGACGTTTGCACCATGTTCCAGCAGCTCGTGATCCAGCTGTCCCTCCAGACCTTCTACCAAATCTNGTCCACAGAGTACACTATCTATTGATATCGCTCAGTAGCATGTCAAAGGTATCAAACTCGGTCACCTCTCCCTCCTTAAAAACCAGAATCTTGTCACAGTCTCTGATGGTGTTCAGACGATGAGCTATTGTGATGACTGTGGAATTCTTCAATTTCTCACGTACTACACTCCACATTGTTTGTTCTGTCTGTGGATCCACGTGTGCAGTGGGCTCATCCAATACGATAATCTTGTTTTGCTGTAACAGTACACGAGCCAAACAAATTAACTGCCGTTCTCCAACGCTGACGTTTGCACCATGTTCCAGCAGCTCGTGATCCAGCTGTCCCTCCAGACCTTCTACCAAATCTATTAGTTGCACATCCTCTAAAACTCGCCATAAATCTGCATCTTGGAATCTCTCTACGAGATCGAGATTTTTTCTGAGTGATCCACTAAACAGGACAGGGCTTTGGCCAAGAACGGATATACATCTTCGAGCTTGTTGGAGGTTAATCTTCTTTATTTTTACACCATCAACCATTATCTCTCCATCAGTGTCAGGCATGCGCAGCAAAGCTGCCACAAAAGATGACTTGCCCGCACCTGTGCGACCAGCGACACCAATCTTTGCTCCTCCTTTAATATTAAGATTGATTTTCCTCAACACTTGGGGTCCCCCCGGATAATAAGTCAATGATACGTCTTGGAAGGTGATATTTCCTTCACTTGGCCATTGTTCAGGAGGACGTCGTCCCACATTGTACCCAGACTCAGGGTCCAACTTGGTATACGTCATAACTCGTTCCACAGACGTCATGAAATTCTCGACATCTGATGATTTTCTGACAGCGTATTGAGTCATGACCGCCGTTTGGATCACATAAGCAAGTGCAAGTCCAACGAAAGCTGATCGAGAAAAGAAAATGTTTTTATTTATACTGTTAGTATATGGGGCAGGGTGACGAGGCCTCAAGGTCAAAATGAAAACTGCTGTCAAATAGCCGAATGTTTGACGAGGTTTAGTTCTTGTCCTGGAACGAACTTCTAGAAGTCGGAATATCAGTGAAAAATTTGTTAAAATAGTCGTCTGTTAGCCGTGATGTTTACAACTTATTCAGCTGACATACCACTCGCAGATTTGCTTAAATAGTCACATTTTGTGACCTTTATTTTTATATTTTAAAACAAAAAAGACCCAGCGGGACGGAAAATGATTCCTCTGTCATAATACGCAAAATTGTGTGAATAAGATATACTTACCTGCATCTTGTGACGCGAAAACTGCCGCTAGAGCCACTGTACCAATTAACAAAGACACGATAACATCCAGGCGAACCCCAAGCCATCTACCACTGGCGATCACCATAATATGTGACTGACTATGAATGTCTTGATATCTTCGGGAAGAAGCAACAGATTCTTTTTTATATCCATACTTAAAAACCTTGTGTAGAACAGACTATGACATTACAACTTACTTTTTCTACCTCCTTTTTACCCAAGATGCTCCTTGGTGACATGTCATCCGAGAAATTCACACTGTATCATGCACTTTATGTAAGTTATTTGGATTATTAATGGCCATTTTATTGTGCAAACGTTTTCGTTTGGTCAGTAGATGAGCTTAACATCATATTTATTACTGGTGTACTTTTTTGTAAACGATGTTAATAATATATGCACATGGGCCTTCTCATGTCAACCCTATGACTGAAACGTAGCTATCTTGAGTCATTAGCTTTCAAAATTGCTTGAAATATTTGATTTGTAATTAAATCGAGATCTCTGATTTAGCTCTAAATACACAAGAAGCGAAGTACAAAACGACGTGCAATTATAATTAGCTTGCAATGACAATCTTTACTTTCGAGTTTTCGAGCCTCTGAATATGACGTTCATTTCCAATCGTTTTTAGCCAATTTGGGACATTGAAAAGAAATAATTTCGTTTAATTAATGAACGATTTATCGACTTAAACCAATATTTTTGTAACTTGTACCAGCAGAGCCTCATTCTGGACGAATGTGAAGAAATTACATTCTTTTGTTATATTTCCCAGACTAGTTGATATTAGCCGTTGCTGCTCTTAAAACCATCACCTTATCCCGAGCATACCTGTAAAACTGATCCACGAAATCTCTTTGTCTGCTCCTCGTCCGAATCGTATCCAGGCCATTCAGAGTCTCCGAAATGTGAGAGAAGACTGGGCTGCGACTTATGGACTCTAATCGTTTCAGTTCTCTGGAAGTCTTCAAGTAATACTTGGAGATGTAGAAGACTAACACAGTCAACGGAACAGAAGCAAATAGAAGCCAAGGATTTGCGACAGATGGCACGATGACGGATGTAAACAACAGCAATACCAACTGGATTGAAAACAGAAATCTTAGTGGCAACAGCTCGTCCATACAGCCCACATCTTTAGAAAATCGATTCAGGATTCGTCCCGCAGGATTCGAATCAAAGAACAGAACTGGTGCTTGTAAAATTGCCTCAACCATTTTGTCATGAAGACGCTCAGAACATCTTACACAAACCAAGAGGAATGCGTATGCACGAATGATTGCAAATATAATGGCTGCCCCTACAAGACAGCCATAAATAGTCAAGTTTGTCTTGTCCTGCTGTTCTGTTGGAAGTTTCTTGGTGAAAAACGACAGCCATACATCAGGAACCAATATAATTGCTGAAAAGAAGGGCAAAAAGTAGCCCGATTAGTAACTATTAATTAAAACCTTGTAAACAATTTCGGTCCAACAAAGTCAAGTGTAGATCGTCTTCGTTTGTATACATTGGCGAAAGCAAAAGATCTTGGAACTCTCGGGGGGCAGAGCACAAGCCTGGCACAGGAGGAAACAATGAATCGGCAATAAAACAGCACACGGGGAAGACTTGACATGATATCCATCCCAACTACGTAGAAATACTAGTACGTGGCGGTAGCAATCGACATAAACGCTTATTCTTAGAATCTTGGCGTTCCACGCTTAATACCGATGCTGTAAATGAGCGCCAGCCTCTCCCTAAGGGCTATTTGCCTTTTATTGTGCCCCTTAGGGATCAAAACATGTCGTAAACTCTTCTTTAATTATTCATCTAATTATTTCACTCTGACGAAGGCAAACAGAACGTTGCCGAAAATTTAGTTTACTTTTACATCATTTTATAGCTTTTTTGGGTCAGGTCCAACATTTCTTTAAGGTTTTAATCATGAACACTGACCGCCCTAACAATATTAACTACTAATTTTTGCAGTCCACCTTATTATCATATACAAAGACTGAACTCAGGCTGTGGGACCAGCAAAGCAGTGGATTTTGTTGATATCACGAAGTTACTGACAACTTCGTATGCTGAGTGCAAACAGCTAAAAATTGAGGTCAGAAAGTTAAAATTAGATTTTATTTACATTTTTAACAAGTAATGAAATTATTTTCCTCTTGCAATTTTGAAGACTGAAATAAGCACTTGGAATTTTTTCAAAGCCTATAAATTTTACTCTACCTACGGGCTCGTGCAATTAGTTTTAGTATTATAAATTTCACTTGTGCTTATTACTTCCAAACTGCAGTCGACATCATTTGATTTCCTATAGTATTTGCAGATTACAGTTTCAACGATTAGAAAAACCACAGTTTCTACGTTGCTTTAAAAATTCCAGAGTTGAAAAAGTCGTTGTAACCGCGCTGGGAATGGTCAACTTCTTTTGCTGCTACCTGCTGGGACGTTAAGGTTTAGAAAACTTAAGATCTTGATATCAGAACAACTTTGCCAGAGCTTACCTTGCGTGATTAAACAAAAACAAATCAATGCAATGATCGCGGAGGCAGTTACTCCACTTCTGAAGTAGTTCCAATATAGCTTAGTTGACACTACTCCGATTGTACGATCTTCTACAGAGATTTCCAAACCCTTGGCCTCACTGGGTAGTGAAGGTACCATTCTGTCACCTTCCCCTTTGATCTCCTCAACGGTACTGTTTTCTGAATTGTTATCATTTAGAATCTTCTGGTAGAGCGGATCAACAGTTTGATTTAAAATGCCTTTTTCTTGTAGGTCAGTGAATTTACCTTTTCCCAACACACGACCTTTGTACAACACAATCACTTGATGAGCTTCTTTCATGTGCAGTTCTTCATGAGTGGTCAACATTCGTGTTTTATTGCCCAGCAGGTCTTTGATGCACTTTTCAAAGATTTGTTGACCAACTTTAACATCTACCGCACTCAGAGGATCGTCCAACAAATAGAGATCTACATCGACGTACACTGCACGTGCTAAGCTTACTCTTGCCCGCTGGCCTCCACTCAGAACGACACCGCGTTCGCCAACAGCGGTTTGGTCGCCATTGGGAAACTGCTGGATATCTTCCATGAGGGCGCATGCTTTGATTATTCTGCTATACCTGTGTTCATCGTATGGCTGACCAAACAAAATGTTTTCTCTTAGAGTTCCAGAGAAGACCCAAGCTACTTGTGGCACATAGACAAAAGTCTCTGGGCAGGTTATTATTCCGCTTGTGTCAGAGATCTCACCAGCGATTGCTGAGAGAAGAGTAGATTTTCCACTGCCAACTGGTCCAGTCACTACCGTCAAACTTCCTGAAGTTGTAGTTAATTCGATATCTTGTAGGATAAATTCATCTTTTCTCTTGAATTCTTTGTACGTCAAATGCGATACACATAAAGCTGTTCGTGTGTCAGGATCTTTCAACGGAGTTTTATTTGTGTCTTGCGTACACTGTTCTTTAGAAATCGAAGGCTGATCAATCGAAAGTAGATTTTCTGACAAAAGAAAGTCTTGAATTCTACGCAGCGAAACATATGCGTCGTGTATCTCCAAGAAACCGTAGGCTAAGTAAAAACAAACGGCTAATCTTAGCATATTCAGAAAAGCAAGGAGCATAAAAGCATTAACTGGTGTGAGGGGTTGACCAGATAGCACAAGAGTAATGATTGACACCAAGGTGGCCACTGGTACTGAAGTGTACTCCAAGGCAGCAAGACTTGCTAGAATGGCACTCTTCTTACGGATGGTGTTTATCTCGCGTCTAAATTAAAGCAAAAACGGAGACTAAGTTAGAAACTAAGTTGCTAGAAAATATTGATAAAAACGAGAAAAACATTTACGAGTGTTGAAAATAATTAGTTTTGAGTTATTACGCTACACTATTGATTAAAAAAAAATTGCGCCATATTACATTAGTGACCATTTTGCATCCAATAAGAAAAAAAACCAAAACGAATCTTGACTCACTTGCACGCGTTGTACAGCGCTTCGCGTCAGCTACATGTAAATTACTTTTAGTTTCGACTGATGTAATGGACTGTCTGTGTCATTTGTGATTGGCCAGTGTGATTACTTACGACACTCAATTGTAAAGTGCTTTTATATGAACATTTCATACCGGAGCGATTAATGCCCTGACTGAATGGTGCAACATTAGAAACAACATTCCATGGAACTGTTAAATAATGACCGTTTACAGGTCGACGACAGCGTTTGGTCACCTACAATCACTGTATCGTGGTCCCACCGGTATCTAACAGCAGGATCAATGTTTGTCTTCCTACCTTCGTGTATTTTTTATCTTCTTTCGGTATTCATCCTCCCAGCCATGCGTCTTAATAGCGCGGATTCCAGAAACTACCTCTGTCATCAAGGAAATTCGCTGGTCAGATTCCGCTGCTGTGCGCAGGCGTAGTGCAGCACTAGCGGAAGACGTCTCAGCATAATATGGTAGAAGAAAACACAAAAAGATTACTCCCATAAGGGCTTGCCAGCCAATCAAATAAAAGAGCAGAAACGTTGCCACCACGATTGTAAGCAAGGATGGGATTATTGGGCCAAACCAAAGGGCTGCCTCCTCCATTCGCTGTACATCATTTGATACAAGGTCAATCACGCCGCCTGTTGAAAATCTGGACAATGCACGCTTGCCGAGAATAAGCGTCTGAAAAACAAGAAAAGCTAAGTTAAATTGATTTACTTTTGCTAGAAGAAAATCTAAGTAACTAACGTCCACTTTCATTTTCAACATAATTCATCGGCAATTCATTCAGTCATTCATTCATTCATTCATTCATTCATTCAGTCAGTCAGTCAGTCAGTCATTCAGTCATTCATTCAGTCAGTCAGTCATTAAGTCATTGATTCAGTCAGTCAGTCAGTCAGTCATTCAGTCAGCCATTCAGTCATTCAGTCAGTCAGTCAGTCATTCAGTCATTTAGTCAGTCATTCAGTCAATCAGTCATTCAGTCAGACAGTCAGACAGTCATTCAGTCAGTCAGTCAGTCAGTCATTCAGTCAGACAGTCAGTCATTCAGTCAGTCATTCAGTCATTCAGTCAATCAGTCTTTCAGTCAGTCAGTCAGTCGGTTGGTTAGGTGGATCTGACTGCCTAAAAGTCACATTAAAAGAGCAGTCAGTCACGATATCTTGAGTTATTTTGCACACGTGCAAAATTACCTTTAAATTGAAGAAAACCTTAAAACTTTACAAAGATAGAAAAACACCAAGAGATAATAATAAACCATGAAGGAACAAGGATGGTTAAGGATGGAGAAGGTCAAAACGGATTGAAAACGAAGAACTTGCAATTGAAAAATTTAAGCTAAACTTTTCAGATGCGCAAACCGTGACGTAGCTCCTTTAAAGTACAAAGGAATTAATACTTTAATTAACACATACAACCGTCTCTCTTCAGTCTCTTATTGGGCTCACCTTTCGGTAAACTAGACCTTTTATGGCGCTACTGATTCTAATACCCTGTAGTTCACATTGGAAGGAAAAATGATGCATAGCGAAGCAACCAACCAAAGCATTAATACCCATAGCCACTGCTAATGCGCAACCGTAGAGAAGATTATTTTCTTGTTGTTCGCCTGAAATTAGTATGTTGATGAGATATCCGAGAAACAATGGCGAAAGAAGGCAGTAAATTGCGTACAAAACACCAATGAAAACCACAAAGAGTATTTCTTTAACAGAGAGCATCATAAGAATACTTTTCCAGAGTTTCGGCTTTTTCTCTTTTCCTTTGGAATTTGTTATCTCGTCGTTCCATTTTGTTTGGAGACGTTCTGTTACTGAAGAGGTAGTGTTCTCGTTTGAAAGAGGTAAAAAGTCATTTGCATCCAAAGCTCGTTCACTGCCTGTCTTGAAGACACTGTTCATCCATTGAAAGAGAAGAAGAGACACAAAGCTGACTTTTTCTACATCGTCATCGTTGGGGATTTTCTTGTAACCATTAGTTGCCATGACTCTAGATCAACAACCTAATAAAAATATTCACACACAGATTTTACACCATGAAAATACCCGTCCTGCGAAAAAATGAAAATCACAATGACTGACTACGTAATGAAAAAAAGCAAATGGGAGCCAAATGTTTTTGGCTCCCACTTACTTCACTGTTATCGCTAAACAATGAAATGACTAACGAAGTAACAACTCGCTGCTGCAAATCAAAGATTGGGATAATGAAAAAAACAAAAAAAAAAAAGAGCGATTGGCCATTTTCACACTACAGACGGATTATCAGTCTGCTACATTTTCCGTCTTGGTATGGGTCGTTTTCACACTAGAGACGGATAATTCGTCTAAGACGGGTTATCCGTCCAGCACGGATAATCCGTCTTAGTGTGAAAACGGAACGGTGTTCATTTTAGACGGATAATCCGTCCATTCTTATCCGTCCGATTATCCGTCTAAAATGAACACCGTTCCGTTTTCACACTAAGACGGATTATCCGTGCTGGACGGATTATCCGTCTCTAGTGTGAAAACGGCCATTAACTCATGAGTTGTCTCTTAATCTTGAAGCTCGATTTAGTTAGGACGGAATGATGTTTCTTTTGGTATAGTTTTATAATAGCCACCTGTTTCCAGAAAACTAAGACATTTTTTGGGTAGCTTTTGAGTTTATCATTTGTGTCCTCGCCAGTTCAACTGCAACAGACCAATTTCGATATACTCTGTATTAAAATTCAGCTTGATAGTAAGGCCGACAGAGTAAACAAAGAAGATGTCACATTTATTTAGCTTAGTGACAGAACATTAAATGGCTCTTAAATTTGAACAACAATTCTCATACATCCTAAGCCTCACATTCGTGTGAAAAATCCTTTGTCTGGAAACCTGAGTACGAGGCTAAGGAGGCACAAAGTATTGTTATTCTAATTTAGGCGCCATTTATGCAAAGAGTCTATAAAGTTGAAGGCGCGCTTTTACATAACGGATTGTTGACTGTTCTACTGTTTCACTGTACCTACATTATGTAAATTTCTCCCTTACAACTGGGTAATGTTAATGCCGATAGTTATTTTGGCGCGAAAGAGAATCTTACAGATTCGTCGCACAACTTTATTAACCTAACAGTTTACTTCGCCTTGCCGTAATTTTTTATTGTGCACAAATAACAAAGATGTCAGTGAAGTCACCTATTGTTGTTAATATGCCAACCACAGAATTATTGGTTTGTGAAACAAAGAATTCTTTTGTTTAACGTTCAATGTTTGTAGACAAATATCTTCATTATTAGATTTTGACAGTTGACGAGGGCTCAGCCGGGTAGTTAACCATAACGCATAGAAATCGAGAGCGAATGATCTAATTGTTTTAGTATAAATCTACTAGACCTTCAAAACTTTATCTAAATCTCTTTACAGACACTTCATAGACTCAAAGAAAGGTACGTGATAGAACGCAAGTAGATTTATACCAAAAAAGCATTTGTGCGGCTTAACTGAAATCATCACCATAATAATATATCTAGATAGGTAGTTATCACAGTTAGTTGACTCTCACGAACTACACTCGGTCGGCTTCTTCGTGTTTTCATCCAATAAAATACATCTCTTCTAACAAACATTCCGACCCGCATTTCTGAAACATTTCAGTAGCTCAGGGGTGGATCGGTGTATTTTTTTGTATTTTGCCTTGGAAAGCTTTCAACATCAATGGTTGGACGGCTTCACTGACAACTGACAAATGGTAAAAAATAACTGACCGGCTGACAAATACTCGAAAATTTAACTGACAACTGACATTTGTTGTCAGATCGGTTTACTGACAAAAGGCTTTAGCCATTGTTATTCGTTTGAAATTTATGGAAAATAACTTTTTCGGTTGAAATATTATTACTTTAACCTTTGTGGTTTAGTATTCATGCTGTTTAGGTTATTTCCAAACCAAAACCATGGGACACAAAGATCTATGGTA